CTTTGTGAACCACACGTGTCACGAGAGTTTCTCTGTCGAACGGGGCAAATCTCACACTCAATACAGACTTTTTTAAAGTGTGTGAAGCATTTTTCATAGGTTATGTCAAACAGATATGTCTTTATTCAATTTGCCTTATTCAATAATCACAAAGCTACTTTATGTTATCTGATGTTTTAATAATGAAAGGCGAAGCCCTATGCTAAACTATATGGTTCTCAATAATGGAGATTTTTTTTAGACAGACTATGTAGATGATCTGGTAGCTGAATAAACATTAAACGTTGCATCTAATAACTTAAGAAACATAACAAGATTCTTCATAGTTCAATATTCTGCTCTTACACTGGATGACTGCCTCAAGAAAATCAATGAACACACGTTGAGCCTGCTAACTATCTTCTGCTTATATTCTCAACAACTGGAACCGGAAGCAGCACTGCCGCTAATAATGAATATATACCCCTTATATGCCACTGGCAATCTTAGATTATTCAAAAACATTCAATTCCTTTTTAAGGTCATGCAAATTGTGGCCATCCCTACAACTTAAGATAGCTGAAATATTGGATAAAGACAGGGGCCGTTTTATATATCCTTAATCTCCCAACTTTCCACTTAACTGGATGGCCCCAGGTTCTAGTATTATTAGAAAGGGAAGAAAATTTCATTCACTGTATCAGTGATACAGTAAAAATGTATCACTGTAGTTATTTTCTAGCTTAACTTTTACCCTGAGCAGTTCTTTTTTTTCCCCTTCAAGAAAACATCAGCAGACAATGAGTATTCCCACTTTCTGCATTAAATAAAGTAATACATGCAAAGAAGCAAACAACTTTCTCTTCCTACTCCAATGACTTTGGCAACCTAAACTCTGAAGCGTTTTTTATAATTTAAATATAAAATATGCAGTTAAAGAGATTAGAAAATAAAGAACTTGTCCTAAGGAAGGTTTCTTATAATAGGGCCAAACAACAATAATACTCTCCAACTCCTTTGTAATTCTCTTAAATCGTGCCAGCAATAGGTTTTTCCCATTTCCTACAAATGCAATACAAAAAGATTTATAACAGCCAAAGTGTATCTGGGTGTTGCCAAGCATAATACTGTTGAATATAATTTTTTATACAAGTGTTTCTCACATTTGACCTGATCTCTTAATTTTTTACCTCCCTTCCTATGTTTAAAAGAACTCTGCGAAAAGCCATAGAAAGAGAAAAAGATCAAAATAATAATACTACAATCACTTCTACAACTGCTGTAAGTCTGAATTTTTGTAAATATGAAAATTTATGAAATATTCATGACAATGAACTACGCGTCATCTTGAGCGGAATTCTACTTCATGGCTTCAAGACAAATAAATCTCAAAATATCATGTGACTTTAGCTTTTAAAATTCCATGTATCTGCATTAAAGGACATATTCAGCATAACTATTTTTATTTTATTTTTATAGTTTTATTAATTTCAAAGTCCTCGAATTCTATCACAATGCAAATGTATCTAAATTTTCCTATGCAAAATTGAAAGAAACGTTATTTTTTTCTTTTCTCCCAAGGATCACAAATCTTACTCTAAGTAACAATTTTAAGCCGTTAGCTGGAAGTATACAAAACAGGGGAAAGGGGACACTTTTCACTCTTTGTGAGTTTGCATTCTTTCAAATGCTGAAGCTTTTATCAGTCACACATTCCGAGCCTGCAGTCTGCAGGCCTCTGACTAACACTCCTGTGATTTATCTGAGGAGAAATACTCGGTCTACATCTTACAAGGGAACACAACAACCCCAAGCTGGGTGGAATGTAAGGAATGTGGAGTGCTGGTTGGGCTGGGACAGCCAGAAAAGCAGAGTGATCAAGTTGGCTTGGCTGAAATACTCCAATCACTTCCTCTAGTAAGGAATGAAAGGAATTCTCTCAGCTTCTTCTTCAGGCCAATCACAGTTCTACGCCTGGGAAGAGAAGAAAAAAAAAAAGGTGGAAATAATGTTCTTCTTTTCCAGCAAAGAGAGCAAAACTCTGCTGGCATGTGAAGAATGGAAGCATACAGCAACCTGTCTTTATGAGACCAGCTGTTGACGTACGGCTTGCTGAGCAGCTGTTCTTAAGTTCCCTAGCCTGTGTCTGCACGCATGTGCTTATGCACACACACACACTTTTCCTCTCAGAGTAGTGGTATTTTAAAACATACCTAAGCATTTTCTAGCAGCAGGCATAAGTAGAACTAATGCTGTGGATAAAAAGGGTGAACAGAGTTTGTGCTTTGCTGAATGATAGAACTGGGAAGTCTCCTGCAAGATATTTTGAAGTTTTTGGTTTTCAACTAAAAGTGATTATAACGCTGCATCAGCAAAAGACAGCCCTCTTCAGTGTAATACTTAAAGTGAAATGCAATGAAAGAATTATAAATTAACGTTACAGAGCTGTTACAGTTAACTAAAATCCTCATGTCAACATTTTTAGGTCCTGATTTGTGGCGACACTTTATCATAGTAAAACTGAATGTTATCCTACCTATCAGAGCACAGCATAATGTGCAACCTGATACAGAGTGTGAGGGAAATAACTAGACACAAAAATACAATTTTGGGAGGCAACTATACCCCTTATCTTTACAACTAAATACAGTGATGCATGCTGGATTGTCACTTTTCAAAAAATAAGTAATATCTGAACAAAACCTGAGTACATTGCTTTCTAAATAATAACAGCACTGACTGGTTTAATTACAGGCAAAAGTAAGGAAAAGGATAAATTAAAAACTTACAGATGAGGACTGAATAATCGACTCATTTTAGATACATGTTCCTTTTCACAGTCTAGATCATCATCTCCTTGGTCCACACTGAACCTCCTCTTGCAAGGACTGATTGGTGGTGGCCCTGTCCTATGGTTGGTTACAGCAGCAGATACGGGGAGAGACTGCATCCTGGGTTCTCCTCTTAGTGCAGCTTCACCTACGGAAAAAGCAAAGGCAAAGTGGATGGAACAAAAATAGGAACATGAAAAGGGCACCCTATAAAGTCATCACCTTCCTTAAAGTTTTAAAGAAATGCTTCATATTTGTCAGTCTTTTAAAACGATGGTTAGATGCTAATTATTCATTTTTTAAAATAAAACAAGATGATTACAAATCTATAATTCATTAAAATTCAGTTTCTAAAATATAACTGTTGTGGAAAAACAGCAGAGAGTATAGTTATAAATACAGTTTATTCACTTAAAATAGTTCTCATTTAACGACCACAATTGGGACCAGCAACTCTGTCACTAAGCAACATGGTCATTAAGCAAAACATCACATAACCATGACGGACTTATAACCTCACTTCTGCTGCAGTTGTTGTGAATCACCCCACGGTTGTTAAGTGAGACATTATGTGACTGGAACCTGCGATTTCACTGCCGGCTTCTCCATTGATTTGGCTTATCGGAAGCCGGCTGTGAAGTGCGCAAATGGCAATCCTGAGACCATGAGTCACTGGAATGGCCGTAAATACCCGCCGGTTGCAAAGCGCCTGAATGTTGATCACGTGACTTTGGGGATACTGCAATGGTTATAAGTGAAAGGACCAGTCATAAAGTTACTTTTTCAGTACATCATAACTTTGAACAGTCACTAAACAGGGCAGTTGTTAAGCGAGGACTACCTGTAATAGCTTTCAAATATTTTTGGCAGACATCTGATTTTTACAAAGAGCATAAACAAAGTGTTTCATTATCCTGATACCATAAATTAATGATCAACTATGTTTAATTTACTTTCTAATTGCTGTGTTGGTATTCATGGAATCATATAATGTAAGGATTGTTAAGGACCTTGGAGATCATCTAGTCCAACCTCCTGCCCAACACAGGACTGCTCTATTGATTATTTTATTATTTTTATTTATTTTTTATTTTATTTATTTAATTTGTCCCCCCCCAACCCCCCCCAAACATGGGGTTTTTTCGGGGTTCAAAAAAATAAAAAAAAAAAAAAAA